CGGTGGCTGGCGGGCCGGCCGGCTCAGCCGCCGCGCATCGTCCGTAGGGCGGCGCCGGGAGTGCGGGCGGGCGCCGGCACGAGGGATTTTAAACTTTCTGGCGCCTTCGCCCGGTTACACAAGCGCGGCTGCTCTCACGTAACGCGAGCGGGGACGTGCGGCGCGGTCGCTGCCTCCGGGCTGCCCCTCGCGGGCGGGCGGGGAGAAGAGAGGAGGGGAGAGGGGCGCACCCTGTCCCGCGCTCACGCACACGCACTGGGCTGGGCGAGGGGCGCGCTGAGACGGGCCGCGGCCCGCGCCAAGATATGCAAAGGAAAAATGCTATGAGCTCATCAGAGGGCTCTGGGAAAGCGCGGGGGGGCGTGTTTCTGGGAAGGGCTGCCTGCGCGCCCCCTCGGCAAGTGCCCGGGAGCCCCGCAGCCACCCCTCACCCGCTGTCCTCAGGCATGAGGAGTGGGGACGGCTTCTCATCAAAATCTCCCTCTTAGTCTCTGCCACCTCTCTCCCTTTCAATCCCCCCCCCCGTTTTGCTCCAGCCTGTCAGGAGGTTTCCCGCCCCCACTGAGGCAGGGGGCTCCTCAGCGCTGCCTGCCTTTGGCGGGAAATGGGTGTGGGGGCGACATTGTTGTGCGGCGGTTCCCGGTGAGTCTGTGCAAAGGAATGGAGACTGAGAGGAGTTCCCTCACCCCTAGCGGGGTCCTGAGGATTTTTCCGTCTGACTTGTCACTCCCCAGTCTGTGGCAGGCTGGAATTTCTCCTCTCAGCTCAATGGATTCCAGTCATTCTCTGGATCCTTCCAGCCCTTCCTGGCTCAGGTGTCTGGAGTGCCTGGCAAGGCTGTTTCCAAAGAGATGTGCTGCCTTCTGTCACTGCCCATGTCTAAAAAAACGGCTCCTTTGTGGACTTCGAATGACACTTTTACTCCTGGGGGGACATCTGCAGGAAAAACAAAAGGGCTGCCCATCACAATGCCTTAATAAAATCAGAGATCTCCCCCCGCTTATGATTTTCAAATCTTGCAGTGGCAACACGTAGGGGATGCAGGGGGGTGCATGTGCACCCCCTGACAGCCAGCACTCCCCGCTTAGGCAATGGACAGGGGGGAGTCAGGAGCACCAGTGCCCCCTCTCCCCCCCCACCCCCCAGAGCTCTGGAAGGGCAATGGGGGACACTAGGAGAAGTGTCACTGGCACTTCTGGACACGTCCTTGGCCTTTCCAGGTGCACTACTGACACTTTGGGTCAGCACGTGCAACCAGCAGGGGGGGATCCCCCTGGTTGATGCGACTGGCTGCAGCAGCCCCCCGCCCCCGGTTGGCGCAATGGGCCATGGGGGAACCCCCCCCCACGGTTGCTGACTGGCCGCTGCGGGGACAAGTGCCCCCCTGACTCAGGAGGCACCAGTCACCCATGCTTACAGGGGGGACTTTCATCTCTTATGCTTAGCCCTCCCACCCCCAGCTCCCACATAATTCAAACACTACTTGTAATGAATATGTTTAATTAGTGTGGTGGGGGAATGCACACCCTTTAATAAACCTCTTTAAGCTGCCAAAGGCCTTGATCCAGCAAACAGTTCCACATCTGCTTCACTAAATGATCATCCCATTATTAATAATGCCACCTAACTTATCTATCCATCTTATCAATCTTTCCATCTATTGAACTCTGTTGTAAAACTTAGCATGTGGGTAAGGATTGGGCCGTTGGTCAGTGCCAGCAGTAGCTAATCCTGGAGGCATACGCACAACTTTTCAGCTGAATTTATGAAATTCTGTCTGCTGGACTGTTTAAAACGTCATGCAGCTTTCTAGCAGGCTTAAGGAATAGGTGGCACCTTTGAGTCTCTTGGGGTCTCCTTGTATCACTATTTTTTCTGGCAACAAAATGCAGCAGTTCTGACATCCATGTCTTATCCCAGGGCAAACCTTAAAAAGGTCCACAAGATAAGGAATGCTACTACGAGTTTGTCCTGGGACATCTCTGAATGCTGGGATTGCTGTCCTGGGACTGCATTGTTGAATCAATGGCAGAAAAGGGGCAGTGTATTCAGCCACTCTCTAAACCCCTATTGGAAGGACGATATGGGTACATGCTAATCCTGAGACTTTCCTGTTTTGGAACGAACACAGGCAGAATTGATCCTGAGACAAACATACATCTGTTCCTAGCCCTGGTCTCTTCCTCTGGTACCGTGCAGTTCTTTGTTATAGAGGACTTGGTTTGAATTGTTTTGGGCTCTTTTGTGGCCATGGTGTATAGATGGGAGCAGAAGTGATTGCTGTTTTCAATAACATAATCTAGGGCTGGGCAAACAGGGCGCCAGCCCCAGGCACCAATTTAGCAGGGGTATCAGCACTCTGCAACCCTGACTCCCCAGTCTCCAGTGCTCAGTGCATCCTCTGTCCACATCCTGCCACACTCCATCCACTCTCTGGTACTTGGCACGCGCGCGCGCACACACACACACACACACACACACTTTTCTGCCTAAGATGCTGAAACTAGTAGTTGTGGCTCTGGTTTTTTTAGAATAACATTTCATTACGTGTTCACTTGCAATTGCAGGGAACTGGACTTGGAGTGGGTGGTCACCTTCAGTTCTGTATGCCATTTTTAAGTAGAATGGTGGCAAAAACTATCCATTTATACTTGGTGTAATAATAATTGGGATTTTTTTTTTCACTTGGAAATTTTCCAGCTTTGAAATCCCATACTACAACCACTTCCTACCTGACAGATTTTTTTACCTTGAGAGTTCCAGCTGGCTGAGTGGTCCTGAGATGATAAGCACTATGCTAACATGGTAGGTTCTGCCAAGCTGAGCCTTCTGAGAGCACGGTAGGTAACTGGTCGCTCTCCTTAGATGCAGTAGTTAAGATCCTGTTAGCTAACTCCTCTCTCATTTATTTTATGGAGGGTTTTTCTTTAAATATTCAAACAGTTTAATTCAGTCCCCTAAGCCTTTTGCATTGTGGTTTCTTAATTTTATCATCCATCTTAGGCCTTGACTGGAACAATCAGTGACTAAGACTGAAGAAAATGGAAAGTCTTGAGAAGAAGGAAAATACAACACTGAAGAAAATGAGGTCTCTGTCTTTGTAATCTTCCTGTAAATCTTATTAGTGTTACAAATAGCAGGTTGTCTCCTAATGTGTGATATTAGAAAATGTTTCCACACACTAGGATTCTGGCCACAGCATTAAGTAACTGTTTTTTTCATGAAGCTGAACAAAGCATAGGACAGGATTGCCCTACTAATTTATCAGGCTGTGATATTGTTTACCATTTTTTCCAAAGTACAATTTTGAATTTTCAGTGAATTTCAAGCTCATGAGTCATAAAAGGCACTGGGAACAATCCTAGAAACTAAAGTCCTCTGCTTCTAGTTGGGTCCCCAAGTTCAATTCACTCCCTGTCTACTCTGCAAACATTACCAACTACGCTTTAGAAACTGGACTAAAATCAGTAGTTTCTTTTGCAGATACCACTAAAAAATATACCACTGGCCCTGAGCAAGAGGCAAAAGACTATATGTACCATTATATATCTCCTAGCCATCCAGTTCCTTCAGCCCCCTAATTTAATTGTGGAAAAATATTCTGAAATCTAGTGAACAAATAGGTATTCAATAGGGCTGTGCGGAAGTTCGCCGGCAGTTTCGTTTTGATGCTGTTTCAACTTGTTTCGAGCTTGAAACAGCAAAATCAAAACAAAATAGAGAGCTTCAAAACAGCCTCAAAACAAAACAAGGCAAGTCAAAAAGTTTCAAAATTTTAGAAACGTTTCGAGTTTCAAAGCTCAAGCTGGGCTTGCCCGCAGGGAAACAGAAACTAAAATAAGAAGAGGAAGGGACAAGAGGGGGAGGGGGAGAAGGACTGCTCTCATTATTGACTGTGTAGCTGGCCAGTGACTGTCATCCTTTCCTGAGGTCCCTTCCAATCCCAGTGCTCTGGGAAGTGGGCGGGGGGAGAGATGGCAAAACTGCATAAATGGCATTGTTTGAACTGCCCTACTTTCTGTCTTGGTGTTAGTTGAGTGAGGGCGCATCTTAACACACACACAGTGTCACCCACCCATGTCACAAGTTTTTCCTGTCAGCAGCTAGAGGTGCAGGGCCCCAGAACCCAGACTCCCCCTTCCCCTATATCCTTGACAGCTGGCAGGCTTCATGGCTGCAGCAGGGCCTATCAGGCTTGCAGTTTTCACCCCCTTGTTTCCCAAAACAGACACAGTCCCACAAGCACCCATGTCACTGTTAGATCCCAACTCCGTGCGGTGTGCAACGACTAGGGAGATGACGATTCAATTGCTCATGGATCCTGTTACTCGTTAGCCAGAGCAAGCAGGGAGGAAACACCAGCACACATTGCTCACAACAGTTGTATTCAGAATGGAGACAGCTTCGGACTAGCTCCCAGAAAACCAACAAACCGGGGAGCTGCACTGAACATTAGTTCTTTTCACATTTTATACACCTTGGTTCATACATATTAACATTTATTCCGCCTATGTTCCTCCTCGGGTTCTACCCATTTCTCGTCCC